GTCGCGCATTTTTAGCCCTGACACAGCAAAAACCTCCATGTTTCAATCAGACTCTATCTAGAGCTCCTCTAAGCTCAAGCGGAGATGGACTCTTCTCTCCTGCCGACTGGCCGAGCCAACGGCACGCCTCGAGCCGTGGGGTGGTTGAGGAGATACGGGAGTCGATTACACCCTCGTTTCAGGGCACGGTACTGCCATGAGAGCCAGCGAAGTGGGAGAATTCTGCTAGAAACGAGCTACGAACTCTTTGCTCCGAGATCACTGAAAGACCGGGGTGGTGGTCTTGCGATACACAGCGAGTTCACCATCGGCTGTCTGCTAACCGCATATAATCAGCCTTTAGCTTTAAGTTCAAAGCTCACGCAAATTGACTGGTCGCTTCTACATTAAGCTGCAGTGAAAGCTGTCCCGTGTGGTGCTATTGCACGTCCCTCCGTCGAGACGCACTACATGCCAGCGCTGGTGCTGGTGCTGTGGTCAGGGCGAAAAGAATCCATCGTATCCACTGTAATTCATGTCTACATTTGTATTACAGCTTCTGGGGTACAGCTACTTGCTGCTCACGTGGTTAGTATTATAGAAGACATGAAGCAAGAAGCTCTGATGATAAGAGAGCAATCGCTCTTGTTCTATGCGCTTATTGACATCGACTTCCTTCCACCAGGATCTTGGTTTGGAAGAGTTGACGGCAAGAATTTATTTGACTGAGAGATATCTACACGATGCTGGATATTCGTGCTTTATAGTAGAAGTGGGCTCGCAAAGACTGGCCCGGTGTGCTCATCTCGTGCGTAAAGATATTATGTATGTATGAGCAGTGTGCTTGCTCCGGTATTGACAGGAGCTTCAGTCATGACACCTCAGATGGAGAATGTAGCAGTAGTAAATGTCAGAATCCTGAACTACTATACTAGTAGGCACTGGCAGAACTTCTTGATTCTACAGCGTAATAACAGAGGACTTGTGGCCTCGCAAGCTTCACGGCTTTCGCGCGAGCGATTGTACGCGTGGGAAATGCATACCTCATCGGGAACGCCACAATGCTGATTGGGTAGCGCAGGTAGGCCTACCTCGGGCCTTGCAACCGTCCTCTTCCGCGCATTTCTCCTCGTACTCCCCCTCTAGCCGACTCCAGGACTACAGCCACCGAACATTCATACTGATATTTGACTTGTGCGGCTGCGCGGTTCAAGAACGTCGTGCATCATCTCGGTTGCAGCCGGCACCACGCCTTGGAAACGCTTCGCTTCGGAGACATCATAAAGGCTCACTTTAGCTCTGGCCTGTGACCTGTTCTCCAATCTCGACCTCATGCCTCCCAAGCATTTCAATTTGAAGCAACGGCTTACAGCGCTAGCCTCAACGCGCGGGCCCTTCTCGCCTACGTCCGACGACGGGGCCAGCGCATCTGTGCCGCAGCGACGGTCGTTCATCCCCCCTATCCCCCGGAGAAGAAACACGTACGATGGGCAGACCATGGGCTTTTCCGAGGACAAACTGCAAGAAATCTTGAGCAAGGTCATCTTCCAGGCTGGTGTGGACTATGAGTCAGTCATTCCTTATACGGATGTCTTTACGCTTGACGAACCACGCTAGGTACGCAGAACACGACCAATGTATGTATCGTTATATCTACCATTCGTCCAGGTCTGAAGATTGGGACGAAATGAAGGGTCGTGATGAGTGCATCTGCCCTTCCGGATCCTAAAGAGGTGGATTACGATCTGCTATTAAGGTACGACCCAAGCAATACCAAAACCTCTTGCGCTTATAATTGATATGCCAGCCGGATTATGGCCTATCTGGACCTCTATGGTGAAGTTGAATGTGTTGTGTCTGACGTTGAGTAGTGCTAATGCTGTCGGATGCAATAGTGGAGTCTGATTACACAGTTGTCTTCTTTGCTGCGGGGGGACGCCATAGGCCTGGGTGGGACTGGGTGTGGAAGGCATATAGGAGCCTGAGCAGGAAGTATCGCAAGAACCTGAAGCGTCTGGTGGGTCTCTTCCACCTATCAAAATTCACTGTTGGTCGGTCGTGGCCACACGCCGCACTTCCATACACGGCCTTTTCTTTCACCTACATATATGGAAGCTATTTCTCTGACCGTCAACTCCCTCCTTCAGCTCATTGTACACTCCAACTTCTTTACAAAGAGTCTGTGTCGAGATGGTCTCGCGCAGAAAACCTGTCTTACTAATTAAAACGAGAACAGTGTTGTTCTCGCTGGCGGGAGCGATCATCAGGTGCGCCACTCGTCTCCCTCCAACCTCGACTTGATCGTAAATCCGCGCCATTCTCCTTCTGCAGCCCCAAGTTCTTTCGCAAGATCACGTATGTCAACACGCTCAGCGAGCTTGCGTTCCAGATCCCCATCACCCAAATTGACATACCTCCTGCCGTTTACCAGTAAGGCATCTTGAAGGATCAGCCTACGCTGACGCTGACCATCGCACAGAGAAAATCTGAAGCACGAGCAACAGATTCGCATGCCTGTGCCGCAAAGGGCAGATCTATTCGGTGTTCCGCTCGAGGACCTCATGGGGTTCGATGGTGAGAAAGGCGGGATACCGAGAGTGGTGAAAGATTGCATAGAGTACCTTCGGGAGACAGGTGCGCGATCCCCTGTATTCTTCAAGGCTTCTACTGACTGTGCTTCAAGGCCTCCAGGACGAAGGCCTGTTTCGACGATCACCAAGCTCGGCGGTGCTCAAGCAAGTTCAACAAGCATACGACCGAGGTAGTTCCCCTCATTCCATCTCGCTTAGCTTCATCTAACCTGTGTCAGGACACGTCGTCTCGCTGAGCAACTTCGGCGACCCACACCTCGCGGCAGTGCTGCTTAAGAAGTACCTGCGTGACTTACCAGAACCCGTCTTCCCTGAGAGCCTGTATCCTACCATTACACAATGCCCGACACCATCAGTAGACCTGACAGACATGGCAGCAGTCATTCATGTACGTGAAATCCTGCTGCCGCAGCTGCCCCCCTGCGCACAAATCCTCTTGAACCACGTCATTCGTGAGTAGTTCTGTCAGTTGGACAGCCCCTCGATATTGACGATTCGCGAAGACTTATTACACGAGGTCTCGATGCGGGCCGAGCATAACCGCATGAATGCGTTCAATCTCGCCCTCGTCATCTCGCCTAATCTCCTCAAGGGCAAGAACCCGATGCTAGACATCAGTCTTTGCCAAATCCCGGACGGCCAGTCGCCGGCTCCTTCAAACCGACCCTTCCCGAACTCTGAGGGCAAGACCACCCTCGGCCAGGTCGTCCAACTCTGTATCGAGCGTTACTACGAGATTTTCGATGACGTTCGGGACCGCGCGGAGGCCTTGCCAGCCGGAGAACAGGATGCACACGAGGTGATCATCGGAGATTCCTCCTCGCGTGACATCGCACTCTCGCCCTCGTTTCAGTCGTCGCAGTCGTACAAGCGCGACAGCATGATTGACGACGACGAGGACATCGACGACGCGATGCTCGTCATGCCGCTCGGCCCCAGCGCGAACGCGCGCACGCAGCAGCAGCAGGCACAGGCGCCCGCACAGTACGCCGCGTCTCCGCCAAGCGCTTGGATGCCCGCCAGCCAGGCAATGCCCTACAGCACGTACAAGCCGCGGCAGCGCAAGCAGCCGAACGTGCCGAGCGTGCACACCGCCGCCTCGGGCAACGGGCACGCCACGGTCGGACGCTCGGCGCGCTCCCTGATCAGCATCGAGAAGGCGGGCGCGGGCTCGCGGAAGAGCTCGATCGCGATCGGGAGGGGCACGACGAAGAAGAGCAGCGGTTCGGGTGTCGAGGCCATGGGCATCACTGCGAGTGGTTTCTTCTCGCCACCGCCGAGTGCGCCGCCTGTGCCGAGCCTGCCCGAGCGGAGGCAGTAGGGGTTTGGTTAAATTTGAGGTGGTGTTCGTGCTGTTCCGCTTATGCTGCTCGGGGACTTGTGTATATATAAAATCATCTATTTTACGCTGGCGTAGAGTGTATTCAAATGGTGTTTTTGCCGAACGGAATTGAGCGTGCTCAAGCTGAGCCTCAAGAAGAGGGAAATGGGTATATTCGAGAATGGGTATATTTGGGGACACACTTGGGTATCGGTAGAGAACCATCTACCTGAGAGCCGCGAAACCAACACGACTCTTGCTCATATCAAAGGACGTGTACACTGTCTGCAAAAATGACTCGCCGACCACCCAAAACGAAACCCGCTCTGAACCCGCGACGGCGCCGACGCACATGCCGTCCTGTCCCTGCACGCGTCCCAAGCTGAACAGCGCGGGTGGAATTTTGAAGGCCTTGCCGTTGAAAATGAGACTGAGCGTCGTCGCGGATGCGCACGGGTACGTGTAGATCTGGTCGCCGGCGGGCGTACGCGCAGGCTTGCTCCCCGGGATCGCGGCGTAGAGCGTGTGCGCGTCCGCAGCCGGGGCGAGGAGCAGCACGGTGGCCGTGTCGATCATGCTCGGGCTGCTCCCCAGCGTCAGCGTGCCGTTAATAGAAATGCCGTCGAGGCGGACGTTCCAGAACGACTGGCAGGCGGGTCAGCATCTGAGGAAGAGATGGAGGAATGGGAATGCAGACCTTGGTCTCGACCGGCACGTAGGTGAAGCCGCCGGTGTATAGGTTATTGTTCGTTCCGCCTAATGTCAGTTCTGATCCGTCGTCTGCGAATTTGAACGCGAAAACAGGAGCGGATATCTGGCCTTGGTCGACTAGTGACTGGATGAAAGGCGAGGTGTTGAGGCGGGATACAGAAGGGAAGGCCAGCCCAAGCACGCCATCTGCTGGGAGTAGCGACGCGGAGAAGTCAGGTGTGTAGGAGCTCGCCACGGCCAGTGTCTGGTTAGATACCTGGATATATGCGGTTAATAAGAGATACAAGGTATAGAATGACAGGGCGGCTGACCTGAAGACCAGTGACTCCGACGACGTCGCCGTACACCCGCCCGCTCATGTCACCATCGGGACTGGTCCACTTAAACGCCTCGCGTCGGTCGACAGCGCTTTTGCTCGCGATGGGATTGTATTGCGTCCGCCCTTTGCAGGCCGAGGTGCAGGCCGTCCCCGGTAGCACGACATCGCCAAAGCCAGTGTCAAAGTTGACGGTGAAGGTCTGCGTAGGGCTGCCGACGGTGACGAGGCCCTGCCATAGCGCGCCGCCCTCCTCGTCTGTGAGCTCCTCGGAGGTATATGCACGTCTTACGCTAGAGCGGCGGCCAGACGATGGGCTGAAAGGGGGGTTGGACCCAGTATTTTGAGCGTAGGCGTAGATGCCGCTTTCGTATTTACTGTAGGTAAAGTCAGCACCGGAACGGATGATGCCGTTGTCAAGTTGAGATCACTCACAGGACCAAGGCGTCGACTCGTGCTTGCAAGTCTGACATGTTTACGGACCCGGTGCTCGAAGGCGCGCCGCGTCTGATCATGGGAACCGTGACCGTGTGCTTCTCGAAGGTGGCAGGAGACGCAGCCGTGCAAAGACAAAGCACGGATACGACAAAGGCGATGGTCAACATCGTTCGTGAGAGAAATGAGTGCAAAGACTGGTGGTGGAGGCAGGTACACAACCTGCACATTGACCTGACCCCGTATAACCGGACATCTGGGCTGCCAGCCTCTGTCAACCGCTTCGGTGATTATGTCTGTCCGGCAACCAGCCCTATGCCGGACCTTGTCCATACGAGGCGCTGCTTAGCGTGCCAGCCAGGTTGTCGAAACGCTATGCCGATCGCCATCTTTGCTTCAAGGAGGACCTCGCAACTTGTGCCACAAAGACCTTGCATGGCGGCCAAGCCAGCATTTTCAAGTACCCATGCATTAGTACGCTCCGCACAAATTTTGCAACTTTGGCCACTATTCGAGAGTATTCCCAGTCGCAAGCGTCGTATTTCGCAAACAGTGGTGAAATAGTCCTATCGCAGGCTGCAGGAGGTTGCGTTAACTCATGTTCTCGCCGTGTTCTCGCCCTTTGGGTTCGTTGAGAGACAAGCATCAGGTGTATATCGGGATGTATCTCGGGAAGTCCAAGGTATGCGCGCACTATATGCAAAAGTAAGATACAGGCTGATGTAGGCTGTAGTATGACCAAAGTGACCTGAACGTACGTCAGCCCGGCCTCACGCACCAGCGCCGCCCAAGAATAGCTGCCTCCTTCATTCGCGACGGGCCCAGAGATGTCCGGTCTCCTATACGAGCACATAGACGGAAATGGAGGCGACGCAGAGTGTGCATGCATTGACGGAGCTACGGCTTCGGGCGATAAGAATTAGCTGAGGTCCGCCTGCTGACTCGAAACTTGACAAGTGGCTGCGCATTCAGGCCCGACGGCGGCGGATCGAATCGACGCAGAGTACGGTGTAAAGAGGTTGCATAAGCCTTATGATAGAGACGGGTATGCATGAAACACGCGGGCTATGTCAGAGGGGCGAGGGGCGAGTATATAGTAGCGGCTTGGGCGGGCAGATGTCAGACGCACGCCTTGGCCGACAGTGACCAATGGCTCTGAGTACGCTCACCAGGCATGACAGGGGCTCAGTCCCGTACTACACGTTCAACAATCCTCACCCTCAAGCATACGGACGAAGGATCGACGACTTCGAGAAGATACAGGCCAGGCAATTCTGGCAGGCAACAAGAAGCTCAGGCTCAGCGACCGGGAACAGCCGAAAACGGTAAGCGGAAAGCGTGCCGCCGCGGCTCTCGTCCCACCACCTCAGCCCACCGGGCTTTATATCTCTCATTCTCTATTAATCTCCTCCATCTCAGGCCGTCTGGTCCTCCTACGATGTCTACGAGCTACGACAAGGTTGTTAAGCTCGCCTGTAAGCCGAAGGCGGCTCCGCCGAAGCCGAAGGTGTGTCGATAGCTCCATCCTTCCGCCTCGTGTCTTCGTTGCGACCCTTCTACGCAGTACCTCGACCCAATCATCGCCGCGACCTGGTCTGAAGATGGCGCCGTACATGATGTCTGCAGGGCTCTCATGCCGCGCTTCCGGGAACCCAACGCCATTGTACGCGCAGCAGCACTTAATGTTGCATGGGATCCGCTAATCGAGAGGTGGCGACCAACAGGTCGTATTCAAGGCCCTCATCGTCCTGCACACCATGATTCGGAATGGTGCAACCGACAATGTCCTCTCCTATCTCAGCTCTTCCGATATCCTTCGCTTGAAAAACATATCTGCCGGGGCGCATTGGGAAGGTGAGTACCCTCGACTCTACCGTCATGCTCGACTCCATCATGGCTCGGTCCAGGTTACCACGCACCACAGAACCTGCAGAGCTACGCTATCTATCTGGACACCAGAATCAAGGCGTACCGGGACCTGAAACATGACGCCATACGAGTCCAGTCGGAGACAAACCGGGACATGCGAAACTCCGCGGCAATCGAAGAGGACAGGTGGCAGGATCAGGAGGAGCGGGCGGGAAGGCGGTTTGGACGCAGGAAGGGGCGTTTGAGTGACGACTTAGGGTCACAGCCATCATCGTCGCTGCCGCAGAGGAGTCAGACGATAGCGGGAAGGAAGTTGCGGGTGATGACAGTCGAGAAGGGGTTGCTGAGAGAGACGAAGACTGTGCAGAAGATGATCGATGCACTCGTGGAGTGCAGGGTGCGCCGGCCCACTCACTCTTCTGAAGCTGGCTAATCTGCTCCCAGTTCTATCTGGACAACCTTGAAGATGAGCTCAACATTACGGCACTGCGAATGCTCGTCAAAGACCTTCTTATCCTATTCCAAGCATGTAATGAAGGCGTAATCAATGTTCTAGGTGAATAATGCTTCCTCTCGGTATACGTGCCACTGCTGACTGTCTCGCAGAACACTACTTCGAGATGTCGAAAATCGATGCAAGGGACGCTCTTAGCATATATCGACATTTCTGTAATGAGACAGAAAAAGTGGTTGAGTTTCTCGGGGTAGCGAAGAAGCTGCAGAACCTGTTGAACGTTCCCATCCCCAACCTCAGACATGTCAGTACCCTCCCATTTCTGCTCGAAAAATTGACTGATCTCTCGTTTAGGCCCCTGTCTCGCTCGCAGGAGCGTTGGAGGAGTATCTGAACGATCCCAACTTTGAGCAGAACCGGATTGAGTACAAATCAAACAAGGAGATTGCAGACCGGGATGCAAGGAACGGGGTTAGGTCAGCGCCAAAGCCGGCTGAGAAGGGTATGTCGGCAGTTTGGTTCTTTGTAATTGCAAAAGTTCTGAACGCCAGTCCCAGTGCCAGAGTCGAAACGGGAGACCGGCAATGCTCCTAGTACCTCATCGCCACCACCCTCAGTGGAGTCGAGACCTGCTAGTAACCAAGCAATGATCGATTTCTTCTCTTCTATTGAGGGGGAGCAGCAACAAATGTTCAACGCGCAGGCGGGAAGGTACGATCATTGTTCATCGGACGCCTGCGGGCTCACTGATTCACACATCCGCAGTCCAACACCAGCAGCGTATCTCCAACAGCAAGCTGCATTCAACCCGTTCCAGCAACAGCTTGCCCAGCAACAGTTCGGAGCTGCACAACCGTTCGCCGCTCCTCAGCAACAAGTTCAGATGCAGCCAACTGGCTTTGTCCCGACCCAGCAGACTGGCATGAATCCGTTTGGTCAGCAGCAGCAAACACAGCAGCCATTTGGCGGGCTTGTACAATCTCAGCAAACCGGGTTTATTCAGCCTCAACAAGCCGGGTTCTTGCTACCTCAAACGACTGGTGCGAACCCCTTCCGACAGAGTACGCTCTTTCCTCAGACAACAGGAATGCCGGCAGGGTCGCCATTTGGTTTGCAGCAACAACCACAGCAGGCGCAACCTCAACTGCCTTTCCAGACGGGATCTGCGAACCCTTTCCCCCAGACCAATGCGTTCGGCGGTCAGCAGCAGTCTCCTAACCCATTCCCTGGTGTTGGGCAACCAACGGGCTCGAATCCGTTCCCGGGGCTTAGCCAGCAACAGCAACAGCCGAGCTCGAATCCTTTCCCCAACTTCACCTCTACGTTGTCACTAGGCAATCAACAGCCCTTTACGTCGCAGTCGAACTTGGCGTCATCAACAAATCCGTTCCCCTCCTTTGCTAACAATACGTCGAATCTCGCATCGCCTCTTGCACAACCAGCGTCATCGACATCTTCGGCTCATGCCCTTCCACGATCAGCGTCTGTACCGCTGAGCGGCCACCTGTCAGGCTCGAACCCGCCACCACTAAGGACACACCAGACGGGTTCGCGGAATCCATTTGGGCAGCCAGTGGCCCCTGCGCCGCCTGTGCCAAAGGTGCCCACCCTGTTCGAGCTAGCAAGTGGCTTCTCCCAGCCCCAGCAGCCGCAAGCAAACGGTCAGATATCACCTACAGCGTTGCAGCCTCAACAGACCGGGTTCGCAGGACAGAACGGCACCCTCATCTCTAACGTTGCGTCGTCATTTGCTCTCGGGAGCAGCAGCAGCAGCCCGGACACCAACACATCACCTGCACCTTCGTTCGGCCTTGGCTCTACCACTTCCCCAACAGGCTCAAGTTTCTCTACTTACGCCTTCTCGTCTCTGTCCAGCCAGCCGACAGGCGCGACCTCAACAGGCACCGGTGCATTGCAGCCGCAGAAGACCGGCTTCGGGGGTATCAAGCCGTTCAAGCCGTCGTCATCGTTCGGCGCGCAGCTCCTCGACTCGCTGCCGCCCATCCCGCAGTCAGCACCGACGACACCGGACCTCGGCGGGCAGTCGAAACACAACCCGGCAGCGTCGCTCGGCAGCAGCTCATTCCTGAACTCGCAGCCCACCGGGCTGGCGGGCAAGTCGCCCGGTGTCGGCCTGCGGCCGCAGATGACCGGCGCGGCCGGCGTAGCGAACCCCTTCCGGGCGACGATGTTTTCGCTGTCGCCGAACACAACGGGCGCGCCGTTTGGCGGGCTGAATGCAGCGCCGGCGGGTAACGCCTTCGGTGGCATGTCGTCGCAGCCGACCGGGTTCACGGGCGGACCGAACCAGAACCTGTTTGGCGCCGGAGGGAACTTTGGGCTCTCCGCAGGGTCGGCTGGCACTCAGCAGCAGCAAAGTGGACAGCAGCAGTCTCTGATCTAGTGCCTTCCTTCTTTCGCCTTTCTTACCATCATCGGTTTCGTTCACTCACGTTTCCTTTTCTTGTGTCGTGATTACTGTCTCGGTCTGCTTGTGCTCGTTTCTTCTTTAGTCTGTCTCTGGAACAACGTCTTCACGTCTGTATATCGTCACTCATTACCCCATTGTTCCGCGCTTGCTTATCTCAGTCGCTGTTTCCCGGAGCCTTTCCTACATTCTGCTAATTGGTAGGCCACCCCTCCAGTTACGCGCAAGCTATCCAGTCTCACGATCATTACCCCTTCGTTTCTTTGGTCATGTATATATCGTGTTTCTCTCTTTCTTCTTTTCTCGGGATGTAGAAGGAAACACTTAGTCTTCCCTAGTGCTGTGGTGGCGGCAAGCATATTGTGGCGTGGTAGAATTGTTGACGCTGGCATCCTGAATCCTCACGCGCTCTACTCTTGCCGTAGACCGTCACTGGCATGCCGGCGGGCCGAGCTACCCTTTCCCTATGCGCCATCGACCGTGGTTAGTTGACTGATATGAATCAACCTCGCGATCCCTCAGGCCTCATGTCCGGCATCGCGGGATCTGCCACAGGTTTTTCGGGATGCTGTTAAGCTCGAGGAAGATCACAATACCTTTGGCAATGCGGGGAGCTTGACGTCTGCCATGAGGTAGGCGCGTTTCTCGGGCTTGTGCCCTAATGCTGCGCCCGAAACTCCTTGCTCTCCTCCTCAAAGGTCAGACTTCAGACCTTATATCTCAGTCTGCCGTCTTTAATCTCAGACTTTGGCTCTTGTACGCTATGCCGACCAGTCGGAATCGCCGCAATCTTCAAACCCCGATGTCGAATTACACACAAACGTCGCCGTCTCCGCTCGTGGTGGTCGCTGTGCTAAGCTTGTTGACCTGGCGCTCGATAATGCGACACCCTTTTTACGAGTTGGCGGAGAACGTACTCGAGCTTGTTCCGGTACCGGCTCTGCCTTATACAGCGAAGGGGCTGTCTATGATCGTCGAGAGAGTCAAGGTGAGTCGATGACGATGTTTCACTGGGTAGCAGGATGCCGCGTAATTGAGCACTCTCCTCCGCAGGATGCTCGAGCAAACGAAGATGTGCTTCGCTCGTTCAACAAAGAAGTCATGGCTCTGAACTCTGTAATCAAAGAGACCCTGACAAAACGCAGACGGCCGTCAAGGATTACGACGGAGTGGACCCTCGCGCCCAGAGCGGTGATGTAGTGCGATACCAGGCTGCATACGAGAGATTCGCGCGCAAGATAGAGGATGCAGGGGTGGCGGAACTACGGTACAGCAAGAAGCATCGATGAATTTCCATCGGGCCTCTGGCTGCTATTGTATATTGTTTTGAACTGAGCATTTCATCGCCGTGCGGTTCTTGACCAAGTAGCCACCGTCGAGAGGACGACGAGCGCTATAGGCACCAAGTGAGGGACCCGTCTTTTCGCCTATTCGCAAGTGCATTCTGAGAGCCTGCGTACGGCAACTTAACCATCTGCCAACATTCAGCTTCACTATTGATCCCAGCTTTTTTACAGCCGCGTTGCCGCTACCGCTGATGATGCCGCTACCGCTAGATGAGTCATCGGCGATACAATTTTGCAAAACGACTACTATTACTCAATGTTACATCTAGGGAACAATCCCCGATAGTTTTTTTTTGACATCTAGAGCAGCCGCACGGCCACTTGAGAGCTCCATGGTCTAGTGGCATTCGTATTCATGGGATCCTGTCGACCTGTAACGTCCTTCCACTCAGCCCAATCCTCGTACTTGCCACTTGCAGTGTTAAGAGTGGATATCGCCATGCGATCGCCCGCCCATGAGCCTTCCAAATCGCTACCGCAGCAGATTCTGTCGGGCACCGACCTTCCCACAGACAGGGTCAGGGAGGACCGCTTGCACCACAGGCTGTCTGACTCGCGCTTCGGGCCAACTGTACCCTCTTCCAGGTTAATCAGCGGCATGCGGACGTATTCGCGCTTTGACAGGTTGCATATGACCCAGGGGACGTCGAGCGGGTAGTGGCTGACGCTGACGCCGCCGAACCGCGGCCAGTCAAACTGCTTGCTGTCGTGCGTGACCTCGCGGATGGACGGCGGGCAGCGGATGCGCTGCAGGGGCTTGTACTGTTCGAGGTACGACGCAAACCCACCGCAGGCCTCAACCTCTGCCGCCAGGTCACTGTCGGCCTCAAGACAGCTGGGGCGGGGGTTAGCCCAGAAGTGCCGGTCGTGTTGCCCAGGCAAGCCTATGATGCGGTCTCCAGACCATGTGGACCATTTCTGCAAACTGAGCCGCTCGACCCGCCTCTGTCCCACCTGCAGGAGGTCGGAGTTCGTCAGACAGAGCGCCGTAGCGTCCCGGAGGTTTTCGATGGCGTCGAAGATCAGCAGCTTGACGTCGACTGGCATCGAAAGTATGCCTCGGGCGACGTCCAGTTTTCCCATTTGGAGGCGAGGCTGTCGGCTGTTTAACTTTCGCTTGCTTCCGGGCCACCATATATGATGCATTTAGTAGGCGGAAAGGCGTAGCTAGGAATACCACACTCACGGGAGCATTTCTTCTAGTGGCATCATAACAGGCTCTGTCAGAGGCCACACACAATCGTTGAATTCGCAACCCAGACTCAGCATGTGCTCTGGCTGGGGTGCACTGGTATCGAGATCCCCGAGCCAGGCAGGCGCAGGTAATCTCCGTTCCGGTCCCGATGGAGGGATCGAAAAGAGGACGTACTCCCGTTTGTCGATGTTGATACTATGGAAGAGAGCTGGCGTTAGTGAAACGATGGCAGTATGTTGCTGCAGGAGATGCGTACATGCTCCATCCTCTTTTGACCATCCAGCTCGGGAACTGTGGACCGGTGTTTTGAGGCTGGTGCCCGACATTAACGAACTGTGCGTTCCAGACGTTCATGATACGGTAACTGGATTGACGAAGGGCGTCAGATAATGCGAGAGTAGCTATTCAGAGTGAGAGAGCTTGTTTGCGACGCTGAAGACGTGGTGGTCGAAAGAAGAGAGAGGGGCTCCAACTCATGCGGGACATTCCAAATTCCCACGATCCAAGTCTAGACATCCGTGTGGCGCCACGCTATGTGCCGTACTTGTTTCAAAGCACCTCTCGGAGTCTAAGGATCTCTCTTCATCGTCGAGGCCGGTGCACATCGTGAAGAACGCGCGGTAGATTGGACGGAATTATTACGCCTGAAGACGCGTGGCGCAGCCGCCCGTCACCGACGCATTCCAAATGGAGCAATGAGGCGGGACTCGGCGAACTCCAGACGCTGGTCGTTGGCACGGAATCACGCATCATGTATGAACCACGACCACGATCTGCTTGCACATCACAACCACATCATTCCGGACGACTCGTGACTCCCCTCTTCTGAGCCTATCCACTGATGAATGTCTGGCTCATGGCGGAAACGCAAGACGCGCTTGAACAGTCTGCTGAACGACGACGGCGACGAAGACGCCAAGTCGCTGGCCCTGGACCGTATTCTGCATGGACAAACTGTCATCGGTAAGACTTGTAAGTATCATCACCAACTTACTGCAGAAAATGTGCTCAAATGGACTGCAGCCCGGACAACCCAGATTGAAGAATCAAGGTTTGGGGACAAGGACTTGGGTGTTCTCGGAACACTGGAGTTCGGCCAGTATGGCGTGGTAACGTTGTCTCCCATATGCACCACCTTCAGCACTCACGATACTCCATAGATTGATGTGGTCACATGCAAGCTCAACGGCAAGACGTACATTCGCAAGTCCGTCGAGAAGAAGTTTGCCGTGAAGACCCAAGATGTGTGTCGGGCCGTTCGTATGAAGCTCCGAAAAGGCTAATCAAATTCTCACGCAGCAATGTAGCCCTCAGACAGAACGCGACATACTGCTTCGCGCATTGAAGAGCGAGACACGCTGGGCTCCACACTTGCTATGCGCATTTCAGTCCCCAACGCACCTAAACCTCGTAATGGACTATGCAGAGGGCGGTACCCTCTGGGATGTCATGGAGTCGAGCCCGCATGATAGTCGCGTGCTCGAGAGCGACATTGCTTGGTGGACGCCGCAGATTGTCAGCGCAATCCACTGGTGCCACTCGCAAGGATTTGTGCATCGGTACGTTCACTCATCGAGCTGTAACAATCACTGCTCATAGTTGGCAGAGACATCAAGCCGCATAACTTCGTGCTCACTGCGAGCTCCCATGTCCAGCTTATCGACTTCGGCTCAGCGGCTCCGCTTCTTCCTCCTAATGACGACGGCGGCCAGCTTGTTCCCAAGCGGTACTGTCTCGTCCCGTGTGGCACGTGTGACTACATCTCCCCAGAAATTCTGCAGTGCCACGAGGAAGCCTTGGTTGCTCTGGAGATGTCAGATAATCCGGAGAACATGTCATCGATATCTGAGCACGAGCCCGGAGGGTACGGTCGCGAGACCGACTGGTGGAGCTTCGGCGCCATGCTGTACGAGATGGCATACGGTGTTGCACCCTTCTTTGCTACCGAGATTCGTCAGACATATATAAAAATTATAGACCATCGGGTAAGCCCGTACGCCTGCTACTAAATGTCATGACGTCTGACTGCGATGTCTTAGCATAGTTTGCGATTCAGCTCTAAGATCGCAGTATCTGCCGAGCTACGAGATCTTATTAGCAGGTGAGCGGAATATCTCTTGCAAACGATACGGAAGGCTTGATAATAGCGAGTAGGCTGCTCAGCAGCGCAGAGCTGCGTCTCGGACGAACATCAGTGGAAGAAATCATGACACATTCATTTTTCCAAGACATGAAGTGGGATGATCTACACAATCGTAAGAAATTGATACAGCCATCGTCCGGAACAAGTACTCACAACCGCCATAGGGCACAAACCGGAGGGGCTCCACTTGCCCCAGTTCACGTATGCGACTCCGCTCCCCGGGGAGGGAGAGGAGGCAGCGGGCAATGCTTCAGACTCTAGGGCATTTGCTTTCTCTGCATTTTTCCATTCTTCCCCTCTCTCCGCTGCGGTTGGCTCCTTGTTACTACCGACTCCGGGACGTACTCAACAGACCAACAAGTCAATACTACGGGAACCCTCGGTAGCCTCATTCATTGGCTTCTCCTGGGGTCCTTCAACTGATGCATTTGACGGTGCTGAACCCAACTTAGCGCCAGTCCCTCCGATTGCGCAGACTCCACGTCTTGTGCGGCAGCCATTCACGCCCTTGGTGTCGAAAATTGCGCCTGTTCAGGCTACTCCCCAGCGCTTTCCATTGACGCCTATGCGCCCGAGCGGTCTGACGCCTTTCCGGTCTCTGCCTCGTCCGAGCACAGCCAAACGCACTGTGCAACGAAGAGCAGTCTCGGACCGGGAAGCCTTGAAGCAACTCGTTAACTGTGTCGGCATGTCCGCCCGCAAAAAGGTGCTGGAAAGTGGCAGGAAGCCTCGGATTTTGACCTCCGGTAGCGCTCGCTCGCGTTCGTCCACGCTGAAGGAACTCCGCTTCGATCGGTCGGTCATGGTCGTGAACGGCGACAGCGGAGTCTCGTATCGCATGGACCCCACGACGACGACGTCCGAATCCGGTATCGGCACGTTGTCGTTTGCGCTATCTGCGTCTGCAGCGTCCTCCGGTGGTGTCGATTTATTCATACCGTCCGACACGGATGGAGAGACGGAGTCTGAGGCTCCGCCGAGTCCAAGTCCAAGTCCTCGACCCGGCTCCGCAATGTCAATGTTGTCTAAGAGGAGCCAGACGCCTACCACCACAAATTTCAACGGCCTGCAACCCGGGCCCCGGGGCACTCCCAACACGAATGGCAAGGCTCACCCGTCAGCAGCTACGTTAATCGATCTGGTGCGGCCTCCAAGACAGCCTCAGAGTGCTACACGAGGTGACAGAAGACCATTATCTCCGGCTCCGCTTGTCGAGCCAGCTCAGCCTATACACGATACCAAAGAATCCGTCAAGGTCACCGAGACACTCTCGTATGACGTGCTGGACGATTTGCAGCATCGGCACGAAAAGCTGATGCAGGATATCCTTGGTATCACTGGACGGTTGGAAACGATTTCGGCGAGGATCAACACTAGATCGTAATTTATGATTCCGGTAATTGTTGTGGCATACATTGACACATGTAGCCCTACCACTCTATACTAACAGCGGATCGGTATACCCTCTGAAGAGACTCATTTTGTGTTATGCTGCGTGCAACAACTTAGTAGTCCTCTTCGCTCCAGAGCTCGCCAAGATGGGCTATGGACTCTCCTGTGACGTCTTTCCATTCAATCCCGGGCCTCATCTCGTCGGGTTTGACGACCTCGAACATGTCACCCGCCCACTTGCCTCTGGTGAGTGACTGATGCGACGACCATCCCATGCTTGTCGATGGGTCTGCCGACCAGCCGATCTGCGATAGGAGAACATGGCCAAGATACAGCTCGCCGCGGAACATCTGCTCCACCTCGCTCCCGCGCACGTACTCGTGTCTCGAGAGGTTGCAAAGAACGAGGTTCGCCTCGTTCGTGTACGTCTCGTTGACAGACAGCGACTCCAAGCCGTCAACGAGCCTACGATACCTCTTTCTGTCAGCCTTCGAGAGCCTCATGGACTCGAAGACCCGGTTGAGGTTCGAGATGACGGAGTACCACTGGCCGAGCGACGAGGTGCGGCGGCGCCTGTAGGTGTCGAAGGTGAGGACAGAGAAGTCTGAGGAGCACGCGTTCGGGTCGACAGACTCCCGGCTGACGCCTAGCTGCTCGTAGACGAGGCCCTGAATAGACGGCGGGAAGTCGTTGTCCTCGGCGTAGTCGCCGAAGCAGATGAGATGGTGCCCGGCCCAAGGGGCGAGCTCGGCCGCGAGCAGCTCGCAGATCCTGTCCCCGCCGATGCTGCCGAGCGCGTCGTGAGCCAGAGCGAGGCGGACGGCATCAGGCAGACGGGTGATCTTGCTGAAGATCTCGAGGATGAGCTCGTCTGCGAGCGAGAGCAGCCTCGAGGATCCCCTTCGGGGATTTGTCGGAGCATCTGGCTCTGAGCGTGGCCTGCATTAATGTGGCATTATTGGCCGATCAGCACATATGGCAGACCGCATCTACGTAAAGCACCTTACCAGATAGCTGAGCCTAGGCCGGCGCATGGGGATGGCATGCAGGTAAGGAGCTGAGCAAGGCGACCAATGCTGTGGCTCCAGAAGAACTCTCCTAGTTTCATGCCTCCGCCGTGGTCATACTCTTCCCTAGCATCAATATCCACACTAAAGCGGTGTGAACATTGTATAATTGACCGCCATACTAATGCAACGCTTACAGCTCAAAATACTGTCCCATTTTCGACAACAGTTGAGTCTGGTCGAAAGGCGAAAGTCGAGCTAAATCCTTGTCCGCGATGGATGCTTGTTATATGCATAGTTTGGGCGCCAGTTCCTCTACGAAAAGGGGCAAGGTGACTCAGTGTGGGTGCGAAGGTGATTTATTATGGCACGTCGTATGCGTCAAATTGAACCTCCTGAAGAGAACCGAAGAGTCCAAACCGTTATATTGAACGCAATTGTCAGACGACACATGAAGCGCTAGTCGACAATTATCCTGAGTTTCCAGACACCTGCATCTGAGAAAAGCCCAAACCATTCACTGATCGGTGCCCTCCCACAAATCAGTGAGACGCTCCATCGCCGCTTCAGTAACGTCCTTCCACTCGATATCAGGCCGAAGCTTGTCCATTGTCGTAATCTCGAACCTGCTGCCTACCCAAGGGCTGCGCGTTACCGAACAAGTAGCGTCCTTCATTTGTGATACTGGCTCCGTGGACCAGCAGATGTGGGCGAGCAGGAGATGACTGATCGACAACCGGTGGCGTTCAAACTTCTCCTGCACTGCGCTGCCGCGAACGTATTTGTGCTGCGATAAGTTGCAGAGGACGGCAGACTTCTCCATTTTCTTGCGACTCTGGCTCGTGGAGAGTATTTTGAGGTACGCGACGAACTCGTTGAATTGGCAGCGGTCAGTGGCGGACAGACCGGCTAGCTCTGACCGCTTCTCAAGGTCTGTGATGACATCGTGCCACCTCCCCTTGCGCGAGATGCGTTGTTCCTTATATGTCTTCGCAACGAAGTCGTAGAAGCTTCCTTTGAAATTTTGCGATTGCTTCTTCTGTTTGACGATGATTTTGGCGACAAATCCGGGCACTTTGGCGAACGAGCTTCTGCGCGAAATCTTCAAATGGGTTGACAGCTTTCCGGATGCGATCCATTTCTGTCTCGTCGATGAGTCTCTTGCCGCAGTGACATCAGGGAAAAACGCCAGCGCCACACAGCGCTTCAGGTGCTGCGGGGTTCTGGTAGACTGGTAGAATGGTACCCGATTCGGCAGCCCTCTGTGGCTCTCGCTGCGCCTCCGTGGCACCAGTAGCTACCCGCCTTTGCTCAGTAGTTCACCGCAGTATGGCAGTAGCTTGTTTGTAGGTGCAAGTAGATTGTTACCACTTTCGGGGGCGCGGCGCACACAATCGCACCATAGATGTTAATGAGGGAAAACATATATTTAAACATATATTATGTTAGGTACATGTTGGTATGCTACACCTCCCTCTCATAGTCATATACTCATCACAACTTTGGCAGCATAAACAGTAAGCATAAGAGTACATCTGCAGCATGAGTTAGAGCTATTCATGGTAACAACAGAGAAGGCAGTACTCACACCTAAGTACCAGGCTCTTCAGCGGTGGTCACCCTACTCAGCCTGGGAAGCGGCATTGGACTTGATAGTTATGAGGGACATGGTGGAGAGATCAGCATAGCCGGATTTCTATGAGCTAGTGCAAAATTAGCTCAGTAATAGCCAAGTCGTGCAGAGAGAATACTTACCTTGTCTGCCACCTGTATAACCCTGCTGTCCGCGTCCACCTGTATCCGAGTCTAGCATGTGCACATGCTAGCCTGATAGGTCCAAAAATCAGTGATATGTTGGCTAAAGAAAGAATATAATGGCAAAGGACAACCCGGCCCTCCGCAGCCGCTTGCAGTTCGTGATGCTTACCGCGCAGTCCACAAGCTCCTTACTCAGCGAGACAGGGCACGGCCCTAGGGCGCACTGTCATTTTTCTTGCTTGCTCCGCCGATGGTAACGCGGCATGTCGGTAGCAGTATGCTTGGGGTCCGGGAATATCGCGAGCTTCGACTACCACAGCCAGCTCTTGTCTGTTCTTCCAGAGTCCCAGGGAAGGCGGAGAGTCAGTGACGGCTATAGTCTCGGCAGCATACCGAAGAGATGGTCGAGCTGCATTACCATGGGCTGATGTGGAAGCTGGGACGACGAGATGTTCGAGCGCTTACCTTTGTCTGTCGCGCCATCATCCAACACTTTAGGGCAGACGTCTTTGTACTTCGGCAGACGCCTCTTGAGCTTGAGCTTGAACATCCACACGAGTTTGCCTTGGAGTGCTGCTCTTCGGTGCATTAATCTAACTTTAGTCCAGTAATGACATAGGTGTGTGTCCCGCATACAAATTTGCACATTGTAGCTTGAATAACCAATATATAATTTCTGGCATACCGTAGTGGCCCCTAAAATGTGTGCGCTGCCGCTGGGTACTACCAGGCACTCCTGAGCCTCTACGCGTGCGCTACCCGACAAGGGCAGATGCGGTGGCTCAGGGTAGCAAGCGCCCTCGCTACGTAGTCAGACGCTGCTTCCTGATGGTGGGGGCGTTCAGAATTCGCGAGCTCCTGGACTCGCAGTCATCGCCGTGGACGGGACATCGTATTCTCTGCTTCGGAGAATACAACACAGTCGCTTCATTCAGCAACTTTGATGCATGAGCCCGAGGGCGTTGAGCGGAACCATTGATTACAGGAAGAGGCCTGCATATCAGTGCCAAAAGGGTTAGGGGATACCTTGCACTAAGCTAATCGTTGCCACGTACCAGATGTCTTGAACCCATCCAGCCAAAGCGGCTGGAGAGACCCAGAGAAGATCGGCCATACCAGCGATCCCTGTCCTCCAGAAGAACTCTATGAGCTTCGTGCCATGGCCATGCACATAGACCTCCCGGCTGTCTATATCAGCTCTGAGCATGTCATCAGTGCTGCATCCGCCCACGGCCACACAAATATATGACTCACATGTGCCAGGATGGCATAACTTGTATTGTGGGCGTGAAGCAGAGCGTGGCGTTTCTGGGAGCTGGCGCACCTTTTCTACTACAGCGCTTATTTTCCCAAAAGAGGACATGATGACTCGCCATAGGAAAAGTGGATGATGGCCGATGCGTCAAGCGACACTCTCAGCGCAGGGTAGCCCGAACCCAGGTCTTAGTTCAATGCATTGCGATTTCAAAGTGCCGACTTTCAACCCTGGTGTCGAGATTCAGTGCTCCAGCAGTGCCTGGATCTTTTGTTCATGTCTTGCATGGGCTGCCTCAAAGCACTGGCACAATTTCTTCTTGGAAACTGGGTGCTCTGTCAATGATTAGACGTATGTAGTGGCGGGACTAAAGACAGTCGTCCAAGCCAACCCCGATAAGTCGGCTGGCAGTCGACAGCAACTTATACTCGATATTGATGAGATCAGCGCCACAAAGGCGAGCGCTCTGGAACCTGAAGTCGGCCACTATAAGGTGCAAACAGTACTAGTTCGCGAAATCAACATCGACTTATCGACCGAACTTCTTCAGCGGGTCAGATTTTTTCTTCCCTATGCCACTGCTTCCCCCTCTACCACCTCTTCCTCTTCCTCTTCCCCGCCCACGCCCTCTGTCGCCACCCTTCTTGAACGGAACGAACCCGACATCTTGCGCAACGCTGTCAGCTGGAGCCTCTGCGCCTGCTACTGGAGCAATTTTCGGTAGCATGTACTTAGGTACGTGCTTCATGTGCGACTGAACACGAGCAGGATGCAGCGGCTTGTCGTGGCGGAGATACTCGAGGTCAAGAGGATTGTCCTCGAAGTGTGCCTGCGAACAGGTCAGCGAACAACAATCAGAACACCAGAGAGCGAGAGGTATACCTTGAGCTTGTCAGAGTTCAAGATCTCCGTCTTCAGCTCCTTGATCCTCGCCTCCCGGACTGCGCTTCTCGTGACAGCACGGAGAGCGTCTTCCATACGATACCGGAACGCCTCGACCTGCTTCATGTCAAACTTGTACTCCTTGATCTTACTCCCCCGCGCGGCCTGCTCGGCCTCAATCCGCGCAGAAATCTTCTCGTCCTTCTTCGTGCTCTCCACGCAGCCAACAACCTTGTTCTTGCCCCACTCCTTTTCTGGTACAACGAAGGACAGCGACATGCCCGAGCGGCCTGCGCGCGCCGTCCGTCCGACTCGATGTGTGTAGGAGCGTGATGACGGCGGAAGGTCAAAGTTGACGACACACGAGACATCAACGAAGTCGACGCCACGTGTAACGCCGTATTCCTTGTCGCCTTCACCCTTGTGACGATGTTTTCGCTTACGGGATTTGGATTCTGGAGGCGGAGTCGATGGACACTTGCGCTTCAGATTTGACGGGCCCGCCTCAGACCGGCTTAGAACATTCTCAGACACATCACCGTCGGCTCCGCTGTCAGGTTCATCCCGTTGCGTAGTGACGACTGGATACCACCGTGAGCCTGAGTATTGCTCGCATGGCGGGCCACTACTCACAGTTATCGTCTTTCGTTTCAGCAGCATCTTCCTCTTCGGACTCAACGTCTTGCTCACCCTTCTTGATACTCTCGTCCGAAGCGATGATGTATTCATATACACCTTTGTTGAACTCCTGGACGACGTGGTATCTGAAATTCATTCTTAAGCTTGCAACTACTAATAGACAAGATACTCCTTACCTCGAGTTCAGTGGTAACTCGGAATTCAGGACGCAGCTTTTTATGGAGAATTGTTCGAGGAAGAGCTTCAAGCGGTAACACCGGTCGACGTCGTTAACGAAGATGATACATTTTCCTTTGATGAGCCTCAACTTTAGGATCACATATATCAAGAGGAACTTGTCGACTTCTGAGCATCTGCAACTCCAAGTTAGAAATAAGCTCAGTTCAAGTCTTGCCGTCTTAGACATACCGAACGGAATATTGGGTCAAGTTCGCGGCTTCGTCCTCGTCTTCCTCAAGCTTCAGGATCACCTAATGTAGCGGAGTTTGATGGGTTGCATCACTGCAGGGTGACCAATATCCACTCACTGGACTCCTCAGCGCAAGGCCCTTCAGCTGCTCCACATCATCCGTCATAGTCGCACTCATCAGGAACGACTGATAGACCTTCGGCAAATACCCGCTGCTGAAAATCTGCCTGACGTCTTCGTCGTGACCGTATGAGAGAATGAGGTCGGCTTCATCGATGACAAGGGTCTCGAGTGCGTTCAGGAACAGCGCCTACAGTATCTATCAGGATCTATTCCACGGTGTAGTCAAGGGGGGACTTGCCTTGGATTGCAAGAGAGCGAGGGCTTTGGAAGGAGTAGCGACTACGATGTCCGGCTTGTCCGAGAGTAGTGTCCTTGGAAGTAGTAGTGTGAGCTTTGCGTCGCACATACTCACATGTAACAGAACACACCGTTGTAAATGATGTGTAGTCCCTGAGGAGACGTTTGCAATCGTGACCTCTTTGTCGCAGTAAGTGACAAGACCCCGCAGGTGCGCAGAGATTTGCTCAGAGAGCTCGCGGGTGGGTACAAGGATGAGAGCGCGAGTGCTCTGCGAATCTGAGCTTGACGCAGCAGTGTTCTACCATGGCATGAGCTTGGCAGCCCATGTTGGTGACAACCGAGGGAGCGCAGAAGCAGGACTCACTGATTTGACATTCAAGATCTTTTGCACGACCGGTATGCAATACGCAGCCGTCTTGCCACTGCCCGTACGCGCTCTAGCAAGAATGTCCCGGTTCTCCAATGCAAGTGGTATCGCTTTTGATTGGACGAGAGTGGGTCTGGCGAATCCGAGGTCTGCGAGAGCGCGGAGGAGCCGAGCGTCCAGTACGTTTGAGAATGAAGCGAAGGACGCTTTCGAATCGACGAGTCGTGCGTCCGGCATGCTTATAACTCTCCGCTCTATATTTTATTGTCGTCTAGATTGTCATGAGATAGCCAAGACCGAAAACCGAGCAGCAGAGGCGAGTGGGGGAAGGGTGCTAGGCAGACGCACACGGCGACTTTTTGAGATTTCAGATCGCGCTTCGGGCGCTTAAGTCACGTGAAAGAGCAAGCTGCCAGATTTGGATGCTCACTAAGTTCGCCTGAAACGCATCGTACCTCAACGAAAGCAGGTATGTCTGCAGACTCTCAGACAATTATCACCCCTTCAGACTACTCTAAAGGCTCTGAGAGTACCAGCAGTGTACCGTGTGGAATGTACGTCCCTCAGCTGGGTCTCCAAGTGGCGAAACTAACTTGACTCATCACAGATGTCGGAGGCAGTTCTCGAGGTATACTTGCCCGAAGTGTAACCTGCTGTACTGCTCTCTGCAGTGCTTTCGATCACCAGTAAGCTATTTTTTGCTACCAGCTGTCACATCTTTTACCACAGACAAAGACTCATGCAGACTGCTCCGAAGCGTTCTATCGAAAGGAGGTGGAGACCGATATCCATACCACTCCCTCCAAGACGGCAGAGGAAAGACAAAAGATGATGGAGCTACTAAAGCGCTTTGAAGAAGATGCATTAAATGATGATCAAGCCCCCCTTGGCGATAGCGACTCCGATGAGGAAGATGACGATCTTGCGTCAAAGCTTGAGTCGATGGACCTTGGTAAGCTTCATATCTCCCATCACGGTCAATGGGCTGAAAGAAGCACACAGAAAATGCCTCACACGAAGAGATCTGGTCCGCACTGAGCCCGGCTCAGCAGGATAAATTTCTCAAAGCGCTGAACGACCCGTCCAGCGATCTAGCCCAGCAGCTGCTCACGAGTGAAGAGCTTGAGAAGCAGATTGAAGAGCCGTGGTGGGAGCGGCCGTCCGACCTATCTGGACTGGCCTCGGATGCCCATCAACGCGGCACTAAAGGTGCGCGCTATGGTGTGCGGCCGGAAATAACGAGCATCCCGCACGCCGCGCTCAATGCGTCAGCTGGCGCTGCGTCGATGGGACCATCGCTACTCTACAACATCTTTGCCACTTTGTAAGCCCGATCTCTCTCTGACTGTCTAGCCGCGGCTGATGCATATCTTGACAGAGTAACCTACGCTTATGTAACTCGCTATTTGTCGACGTCGCCACTGGCATCGATTTCCCCTGGCGACCCTGAACATTACGAAGCCCGTCAGTTTTTCTCTCGCCTCGTGCCGTTCCTCACAGACCGCAAGTCAAGGACGGTTCTCCCGAGCCTATCAGGGCTGATTACGCACCTGTGGTCACGCTTCGAACCGGTAAGCATTTCATTGCAATTCTAATCGGTACCGCCTGAGCTGAGCAGTATGCTTAACAGGGAAGCATGACTCCGGCATTATTTGCTCTTCTCATGCGGGACGTAGCGAAGCTCATGCGCCCCTCCACGGTGGTGCCTATCGCCTCATCGGGGCCGACAGAGTCCTTCGCCGACCATCCAAGCGCGAACGCCCTCTGCGCGATCTCCGACCTCTCGGCACTCTTCCAGCGTTCGTCGGCTTCCAGCGTTCCCAGCGCAGTATCGGCGAAGCTCGCCTTCTACGCTGCGCGAATCGTCTCAACGCCGGCATACATTCTCATCGCGCTGGCGGACGAGGCAATGGCACGCGCACGGCTTGTCGAACGTGAAGAAGACTTAGATAAGATCCCTGCGTCGGAGGCTGTAACAGAACAGACGAGGGAAGCGAAGCCCCAGATCGAAGAACTGACGTAATTGGGCATAGGAGTGCATTAAGTGTACATTATGAACCTACGTACATGGCGATATTACAACAGATGATTAGATAAAATGTCTTTCGGGGCGAGCACCTTCTGAGGTGCAGCAAATTTTCGAAGGGTAAGATACCGCTAGGAATTAGAAAGGCTCAATTAAGGCGAAAAGCTCAGTCGTTGGCTGTTCCTGCGAGATGGAATCAGCGACATGTTCCGCTGTGGAGTTAACCAGTGGATACTCACTGCATGAAACTTGACTGGGGGCTTTGCAGGGTGCGGAATCATGAGGTGCTTTCGCAGATATTCGATCCACGTCTTTGCGCAGACCGTCCGTTCCTCCAACGTGTAGCCCTCCACGACTTGGTATACCAAGCCCTTCAGCTCTTCGCCCCCATTTTTGCCGTCCAGAATCAAAGCCCGGTTGCCGCCTCCGAAGCAGAGCACGATCAGCTCGATCCCTGCCTCCACCTCCATCCCGTCGCCCTCAGTCATGAATCCGGTCGTCTGGATGCCTATGCCCGCGAACTCGACGGGGACGACCTTCGTCACACGGAGGATGACGCCCGGCTCGAACGGCGAGCAGCCACCAGAGAACGTGATGCACTTGACGTGCGGCTTCGCGACCGAGATGGGCTCGCTCCAGCCGTACGCGCCAAGGCCAAAGCCGCCGACGCCGCCGAGCGCGGCGAGCTCGAGGAGCGGCCGCCTAAGCGCGTGCGCGGGACGGCGCTTGTTCTCGTCGAGGCCGGGCCAAAGCCAGCCGAAGACGCCCCAGGCGGGCCACTCGCGGACCCAGGCGACGAACTCCTCGGGCGCGCTCGCGCTCCGGGTGAGGAAGGCCAGGTACTCCTCGCGGTCGCTGTCGCAGTAGCACTGCGAGACGCGTGGGCGTTGTGCGTCACGTGGGGCCTCGGCGACGATTTGCTCGAAGAGGTCGAGCAGCTTGCGGCGTGCGGGGCTCAGATGCGACTCGTGCACAAGCATGCGCCAGTGTTGGCAGACATTCTTGGCGGCGATGAGTGGTTTGAGAGGCAGAAGAGGGAAGATGGCAAAGAGGAGCTCGTTCGGGAGTTCGGCGATGGTCGTCCGGCGACGCCTCGGAGTGCAGGTCAACGTGCTGCTGTCCATGGTGGTGTGCTGGTAGGACCAATAGAAAGCAAAGGGGAGGCTCTTATATATTGCGGCGAGCGGCCTTATGGTGCCGTACAACGTACGCAGCCATCCAGCGTGCTCTCCAGCGGCAATCCTGAAGATGACGTTGGAATGCGAAGATGAGAGACGTGTACCTGCCGCCCCCAAGAACGGGCGAGTGAGTCACTTGCCTGAGTTTCTGAGTTTAGCGGAGATGATCATTCGGCCCTGTCCGCGAAGAGGGCGCGGCTCCTATCTCGGACAATCGGAACGCTCCAGTGAAAGGATCTTGGCATGGACAGAGGATAGAAAATAGTGTACATTATACTTTACAGTAACACAATAAAGATAGCCAGAGAAAAAAGTCAAAGACGAAACATCTATGCGCCGAAACCGTAGAGAGTGCGCCCCGATCGCTTAAGAGCATAAACGACATCGAGAGCAGTGACAGTCTTGCGCTTAGCGTGCTCAGTGTATGTTACGGAGTCACGGATGACCTGGAATTGAGAGATAAGTACGGAAACACGTAAAGCAGCCAAGCAGCTAGACTGACGTTCTCGAGGAAGATCTTGAGAACACCACGGGTCTCCTCGTAAATGAGGCCGGAGATACGCTTGACACCGCCACGACGGGCAAGACGGCGAATGGCGGGCTTGGTGATACCTATAGAAGACGTTAAGAGGCATCTAGGGGATTGCTGAAGGCCGATTTACCCTGGATGTTGTCACGAAGAATCTTACGATGACGCTTGGCACCGCCCTTTCCGAGACCCTAGAGGGTTAATCAAGAGTAAGTTGTAGGTCGAAGACACTTAAGGCCAGCTGTACAAACCTTGCCACCTTTGCCACGGCCAGACATATTTGGTTTTGTAGCCGATTAAAGCGAAGAGACGGGTGTTGAGAGGTTTGTGCGGAAGGGCGAGGGTGAGTGTAGTCACAGAGCAAGATGAGGGCTGCTCTTATATGGCTGGCGCTCGCGGGGCCGGCCACGCTGCACGTGACTTGCTGTTTAGTGACGATCAA